TGTAAATTTTTTTACCTTTCCTAAATTATAGAATTGTTGTCTAGAACAGTCTTTGGGATAGCTTTTTAAAAATGTATTTATTTAAAAGTCAGCATTACCGGAAGAGAGAAGGGAATCTTCCACCCATTGGTCCACTACCTGAATGACCACAATGTCCAGGGTTGGATCAGGCTGAAGCCAGGAGCTTCTTCTAGGTCTCGCACATCTGTGTACGGTCCTAAGCACCTGAATCACCTTCCAATACTTGGCCAGGCATGTTAGCAGGGAGCTCAATATGAAATGGAGCAGCCAAACTTGAACCAGCACTTGATATGCAATGCCAGCATTGCAGACAGTAGCTTAACTCGATGAGCCAAAATCCAGTCCAGAATACCTTTTAAATTTGGTATACCTTCAAACTAACAAGAAATTGCTAGAATAGTATAAAGACGGGCCCAGCACGGTAGCCTATAGGCTAAAGTCCTTGCCTTGCATGTGCCGGGATCCCATATGGGTGCCAGTTCTAATCCCAGCAACCCCACTTCCTATCCAGCTCCCTACTTGTGTCCTGGGAAAGCAGATGAGGATGGCCCAAGGCCTTGGGAGCTTGTACCTGTGCGGGGGACCTGGAAGAAGCTCCTGGATCCTGGCTTCAGATTGGCTCAGCTACAGCCATTGCAGTCACTTGGGGAGTGGATCATGAAATGGAAGATCTTCCTCTCTGTCTCTCCTCCTCTTTGTATATCTAACTTTGCAATCAAAATAAATAAATCTTTTTTAAGAAGAATAATATAAAGACTTCATGTATATCTCTACCTGCTGTTTCCTTTTATAACACTTAAGTTTTGATTTTATCTTGGTGTTTTGAGGACAGCATGAAATATATTGACAAGAAATAAAAGATATGGTAGGAGAATCCTGGGCTTGCCTCTACCTGAGAGATTCCTCCCTCCTCAGCATTTACACTGTGAAGAGGTCACAGGCAGCTCCAGTCCCTGGCTCCACCTACCACTGCCATCTTAGTGGGAGGGGCCAAGGTGAGTTCAACTTCAGGGTTTAGGTTAATGGACCTGCCAGTAGCATGGCAGCTGCTGGGAGGAACTGGGCCAGGTCAGGCTTGGGGCCTGAGCCCTAGCCACTGCTTCCAAATGGTGGAAGAATCCTGGGCTGGTGGGTGGCCGTAGTGCCAAAGGTGCTGGGCTTCACCCCCTGGGCACCTAGTAGTGAGCTCTGCGCTCATGGGGGTGTGAAATTACTGCCTTAGGGACATCCATGGATAAGTCCACCTACGTGTAGGTGAAGGATGAATCTTGAGGGACTCCCAATGACAGGGCCACCGTACTTGCAGGTAAGCAAGGGGTCTGAGACCTGGTGGTTTGAAGAGGAGAGATAGGAAGAGCTTTATGGGGCACACTAATGCACCCACCCACAGAGGTGTCCTGAGTTGGGCTTGTTAGTGTGGAACATTGCTCACCAGCACACATCAATCAATGTGAAAGCTAGGGCTGGGTCCTGTCTAGCAGGGCTAGATCCCAGTACCTGACTGAATGTTGGAACAGGAGACAGGTCACATAAGGCAGGAACATTACACTAACCAGCACGTGAGAGAACCAGGTCTGGTGGTAGATTCTGTAGGGGAATGTGGGCCAAACCCTGTGGAAATACAAGTCCCACTGGTTAGCTCAAGAGTTGGGATAGTGAGGGGTTGAGCTAGGTGTAACCATGGAACCTGCCAACACTCATGGGTACAGGGACTGAGAACAGTCTGGGCAGGTACAGGCTGTAGCACCCACATGCACATCCCAAAACAGGGTGTGGGGCAGACCGGCTGCAACATTCACCAGCTCATACTAGGCCAAGATGGAGGAGCAGGCTATGCTGGGCAAGGGCCTACTACCCGCTGGCATGTGTGAGATCTGGATCTGGGAGTGGGCCGAGTGGGGGAACTTGAGAAGCTCCCCTACAGGGTCATAGTTCCCTCTAGTGATCATATGGTCCAGGCCTGGGGATCAGGCAGACTGGGCAAGGTAGCTCCAACTGTTGGCAAATGTGTCAGTTGGTTTTAGAAAAGGAGCAGACCAGGCAGGGCCAAACAAACCTTGGTTCACTGGCAAGTGCAGAAACCAGGCTGCAGCGCAGGTCATGCCGGGCTAGGCTGCCACATCTTCCAGTTTGTATGGGCCAGGGATGGCAGCAGACTGAGCAGAGCCAGGTTTTAACACCCTCCAGCAAGAGTTTGAACCTGGGGGCAGGCCAGGATAGGCCAGGCTAGAGCAACCAAAGACAAAGGCCAAGACAGGTCAGAGACTATGCCAAGCTGGATCAGAGCAACCACTGGCACACACATGATCTATGGCCGGGAACTGGCCTGATTGGGGAGCTAAACGGACACCGTGGCAGGGTTGAGGTTCCCACTGGTGAGTGCAGGTGCCAGGGTGGGAGCTGCTATCTGGTCTGGACATGGCTGCAGTGACCCTCGGCACAAGTGTGGACTGGGCCTGGGTGTGCCAGACTTGGCTAGACTCCAGCACCCTCTGGTGCTCATGAGAACCAGAGTAAGTATAGGATAGGCTGGGCTAGGTCTCTGCCCCTGCAGAGTCATGTATGAGCAGTTTCTGGGTGTGGACCAGGCGTGGCTGGGCTCTAACACCCAACAATAAAAACCAGAATGGGTGAAGGCCAGTCAGGAAAGGCCACTATCCCTGTTAGGACACGAGGTGGACTAAGTAGGGCTAGCCCATGGATCCACCGATAGGTATAAGATCTGGCATTGGGAGGGATTCTGATGGAGGAGCTTGGCAACTCCTCTGTCAGGACACAGTCTCTGCAGATGAGCAAAAGAACCATGATAGGGAGTAGCCCAGACCAGGCCAGGTAATGATACCCACTGGCATACATTTGGCGCAGGTCAGGGCAAATCAGGCTGGGCCAGTTCATATCACCTGCTGGCAAACCCAAGTATCAAGAATGGAATGTGGGTCAGGCCAGGTTGGACCGCAGCACAAGCCAATTCATGTGAGGGCCAGTACATGCTGCTGGCTGGGCTGAGCTAGGCTAAAACCCCATTAGCCTGAGCTGGAATCGGGGGTGGACCAGGCTTCAGCACCCACTGGTAAATGCCAAGGTAAGGCTGGACATGCCAGACTGGGTCACAGCACCCAACCAGTACAGGTGAGACCCAGTTGGGGAGAGAGTGAACATAGTATAGGGGCTGTGTGGTTTTCCCCTGCTGAACCACCACTACTCCCACTGGTGAGCATGAGAGCTGGGGTGGAAGCAGACCAGGCCATGCAGGGATACAATACCTGTTGGCTTCATGTGAGCTGGATAGGGGAAAGCCATACTGGACTGACTGTACCTACTGGTGCATGCATAAGCCAGAGTGGATGTGGACTGGTTGGACTCTGCCACAGCATCAGCTGGCAAATGCTGGCATGGGGCTAATTCTGTCAAGCTAAAGTGCAGATCAACTTGGAGAGTACATGAATTGGGAGTGGAACCATTAGGGAAACAGTTGGCACCTCCCTCTTGGGTTGCCACTCTGTCTGGTGAGCATGAGAACCAGGACTGGAGCAGGTGCAGCTAGACAAAGAGTGGCACCTACAGGCAGGTTTGTGGGCTGGATAGTGGAGCTGGCTTGATTGAACTAAGCTTCACTGCTCATTGACATGTACAAGAGCTGAATGGGATATGGGACAGACTGGTCAAGTCTGCTGTACATATACATACTTGGCAAGCACAGAAACCAGGGCAGGGATGGGCCTGGTGGGAGTTACTGTAGGTCACTCTGACTAGGCTGGAGTTCCCACTGACATATGCGAGGGCCAAGTGTGGTGGGCAGGGCCAGGATCAGCTACAACACCCATTGGTTTGTGTAGAAGACAGGGCAAGAAACAGAACTGACCCAGCAATTGCCACAACCAACAGGTGCATAAGCTGATTGGGGTGATGGACTGTGCTGGACCCTGTACTGGCAAACACACACAAGAATCAGGTCTGGGATCACATCAGATAAAGTTTCTTTGGGAATCCCACAACTGAACCGTTGGACTCAGAATTCCAACCATGTAATAAATCGGAGGTTCCATGGTCTGATCGTGGAATGCATGTGTCAGAACTGAGCCTCCTCAGAGGCTTAGAAAGAGCAATGGACAGCACAACCAGATGCACATGGAGGACATGGCAGTACACTGGAGTCTGCAGAGGATACCTGGTACTACAACAGAGGATGGAGGACAGAACAAATTAATCAACTACCCCAGCCAAGTGTTGGCAGTGAAAATTCAAGCAAATGGAGACGCTAAGATGGACTAAGTCAACCAGTAGATTCTGGAGAGTTTTCATCGTGATTGGAGTGGCAAGATTGGCAATAATTCAGAAATGTTGAACTATCAAAACCTCTTGAGCAACACCCTCAGAGTATGCCACACATTGGGGACCCTGGGATGGCATCAGGTGGCTGTCCCATCTCAGGATACAGGGGTGATTGGGAGGCTGGATGTGGCTTCTCCCCTTTGTCTCCCCCATTCTCCCAGATACACGAAAGAAAAAGGAGAATGTGGAAATGGTGATTTCACCCACCTTCCTGTAGCCTTTGACCCTTATTACCCTAATCAACTCTGTAAAAATCATCAAAAGTAAAAGTAATTACAAACCAAAAAAAGAAATATAAGATATATATTGATCTTTTTCCAAATAGTTATCTGGATGTTCCAATAACATTTAACAATTTGTCTTATCCTTAGTGATGTTACCTGTCATTTTATTACATGAAAAATTTCCTTATGTATTTGGGTATATTTATGGGATTTTTATACTATTCCATTGCATTGTCTTTCTATTTGGATACCATCACATCATTGAATCACAGATGTCTTTGTAACTGATTATATGGTAGTTTCCCACTCATTAATTTCATTTGTTTGTTGGTAGATTTTTTAAAAAGTTATTGGGCTACAGACATTTGTTCTGTTTGCTTTCCTAAATAAATGTTCCTAATGAATGTAATTTTTTTCCCTTAGAACTACAATATGCTAACACAGTGATGCGCTTTGATTATGTCTGGCTACGAGACCACTGCCGATCAGCATCTTGCTACAACTCGAAAACTCATCAGCGTAGTTTGGACACTGCCAGTGTGGATTTATGTATCAAGCCAAAGACCATTCGCCTGGATGCGACCACACTCTTTTTCACTTGTAAGTGAATAGGGGACTTGGTTTTCTTTGGAGTACTGTTCAATGGAACAAATTTTGTGAAAAGTAGAATTTCTGTTTCCAAACTAGGGCATTTTTAAAATTATATTTGTTTTTGTTCCTGCTTTGCAAGTATTTTTTTGGTGCTTATTTTTCTCTTGAAACAAACCCTTTTCCCCTAAAACTGGTAATATAGCAAGGATGTCTGCTCTAGGAACTCTTACTTAAAATTCTCTCTCACCATTATTATATAACACAACATTGAAATTTCCAGTCATTAAAATAAGGCAAGAAAAATAAATAAGATGCATAACTATTTTTTTCAAAGATTTATTTATTTTTTATTGCAAAGTCAGATATATACAGAGAGGAGGAGAGACAGAGAGGAAGATCTTCCGTCTGATGATTCACTCCCCAAATGACCACAACAACTGGTTCTGCGCCGATCCGAAGCCGGGAACCAGGAACCTCTTCCAGGTCTCCCACGCGGATGCAGGGTCACAAGGCTTTGGGCCGTCCTCCACTGCTTTCCCAGGCCACAAAGCAGGGAGCTGGAAGGGAAGTGGAGCTGCTGGGATTAGAACTGGCGCCCATATGGGATCCTGGTGCATTCAAGGCGAGGACTTAACCGCTAGGCCAGCCACTGCCGGGCCCAAGATGCATAACTATTAGAAAGGAAAAGAAAAAGCAATCTGCAGTAAAAATGCTATTACTAAGAGTGAATTCATTAAGCCCATGTGATACAATATCAACATATAAATATTGAATTTCTCTATACTTACATATATAGAAATAAAAATAGCTGTTCAATTTATTTTTCCAAATAAAATAATTACATATGACCTTATAACACATATGTTAAAGATGTGCATGATAAAGATTATAAAAAAGAGTGATAAAATACATTAGAATCTGAGTACTTGGGAAGGGAAGCCACATTCATTGGTTGGGAGAATTAATAAAAATATCACTTCCAAGATTTATTTATTTATTTATTTGAAAGAGAGAGCAACTGGGGTGGAGAGAGAAGGAGAAAGAGAAAGAGGAGTGAGAGAAAGAGAGAGAATCTTATTAGTTGTTCCACTTTCTCAATTGGCTGAATCTAGGAACTTAGAAATCCATCTGGGTCTCCCATATGGGTAGCAGGGAAACCAAGTAGTTGAGTCATCTTCCACTGTGTTCTCAGGTGCATTAGCAGGGAACTGGATCAGAAATTGAGTACTGGGACTCAACACAGCACTCCAATGCTCAGTGTTGGCATCACAAGCAGTGGCTTAACTGCTTCACACAATGCTGAGCCCAAGACATCAGTTCTCTTCAAATTTATAGTTTTAATTCATTTTCTTTTTTAAAACATTACAAATATTTTATTAATAATTACACATATTTGTGGGATACAGTGTGACATTTTTTCCAAAGCTCCTAAACCAGGAATCAAAATTAACCTTCTTAAGTAACTACTTTCAGGTAGTTAGTAAAGTGATGAAATGCTTAATAACACACACCACAAGAGTATAAAAGGGTTCACTCTTCTCCACATTCTAATGAGCACTTATTACCTTCTGTCTATGAACATACCCATTCTAATTGGAGTTAGGTTGTATCTTATTGTGCTTTAGATTTGCATTTTACTAATGATTTATGATGCTGAGCATTTTTCTATATGATTGTTGGTTATTCATATGTCTTCTATTAAGAAATGTCTATTCTTGGGCCAGGTATGATATTCTAATGGCTAAAGTCCTCGCTTTGTGCATACTGGCATCCTGTGTGGGCACCAGTTCTAATTCTGGTGACCCTGCTTCCCATCTGGCTCCCTACTTGTGGTCTAGGAAAGCAGTTGAGCATGGCCAAAGGCCTTGGGACCCTGCACCCATGTGGGAGACCCAAAGGAGGCTCCTGGCTCCTGGCTTCAGATCGGCTCAGTGCTGGCCATTGTGGCCACTTGGGGAGTGGATCATCAGATGGAGGATCTTCCTCTCTACCTCTCCTCCTCTCTGTGTATCTGCCTTTCTAATAAAAATTTTTTTAAAAAGAAGTGCCTATTCAGATGTTATACCCACTATTTTCTCATTTTTTTAAAGCTTTATTTTATTTTATTTTGAAAGGCAGATTTTTACAAGAAAGAAAGAAAAACAAAGAGAGATCTTCCATTCGCTGGTTCACTTCCCAAATGGCTGCAATGGCCAGATCTAAGCAATCCAAAGTCATGAGCCAGGAGCTTCTTGTGAGTCTCTCATGTAGGTGCAGGGGCCAAGAACTTGAATCATGCCCCTCTGCTTTTCCAGGCCATAATCAGGAAGTTGGATCATAACTGGAGCAGCCAAGTCACAAACCAGTAACCATATGTCTTGTCCATTATTTAATCTGGTTGTTTCATATTCTTTTTGTTATTGAGTTATTGTAAAGTATGGATATTTTGCCCTTTGTTTTAAAAATGTATATATAGGGCCTAGCATGATAGCCTAATGGCTAAAGTCGTTGCCTTGCATGCACTGGGATCCCAGCCAGTTCATATCCCGGCTGCTCTACTTCCCTTCTAACTTCCTGTTTGTTGCTTGGAAAAGCAGTGGAGGACGGCCCAAAGCCTTGGAATGCTGTGCCCATGTGGAAGACCCAAAAGAAATTCTTGGCTCCTGGCTTTGGATCAGCTTAACTCTGGCCGTTATGGCCACTTGGGGAGTGAACCAGCAGATGGAAGATATTCCTCTCTGTCTCTTTTCTGTCTAGATAGCTGCCTTTCCAATAAAAACATAAATCTTTAAAAATGTATATATAGAGAGCATGATGTTGGCATAGGGTGAGGACATGTTAAAGCAGATGGAAAAGGATTATCAGAGAAGCAGAGAGGGCATGATCCCAGGTTATAGGAGTGGGCAGGCCAGTGACAAAGAGACACCAGGGGCCCTGTGGACATGGAGAAGCAGCAGACAGCAGAGTGGTGCTGCAGCAGATACTCCAGCAGCAATCAGAGGAGGTCACCGGGAACACAGGAGGTGAACAACTCATAGAGTTGTGAGTCCTGGTGATTTTTTAATCCAATTATGAGCCAAAGCAGAATGGTGGAGCACTTGTATATGCATCTGGGAGCAGGGTGGATTTCATGGCTCAGCCCTCCACCACATTAGACACCATTTTGAGTATTGCAGCAAAGCCCCTGGGATATAACAATGAGCTGTGCATGTACTAAGCCATGAGAGAACTCACTTCCAACTCAATGCATTGCACTGGTCCCACCAGGAAAATAATACCAAATTGGCTTCCCATGGTTCTATCCCAAATAGATCTAATTTGCCCCTAGTCCTAGCTGCTAGCAGATTCTGGCAAGAAGAAGAAGAAAAAAAAAGAAGAAGAAGAAAAGAACCCTATGTACTGCCAACAGGAACAGGACTGCTTTAAAGTGATCCACTTTAAAGACACAGCTGTTATCTCCTTAATCCTGGGTACTGCTGGAACCATGAATAGGAGAAAGGCTGAGCAAACAATAGTGCAGCCATGAAACAGGATCACAGGGGATAGAGAGATATAATCTGGGTACCCCAGCTGCAGAGACCACAGCAGAGCACAGCACAGGAGTCCAGAACTGAAACTCACTGGAGGGAATGGCACAAGTGACACAAACAGAACTGGGCATTGAACAGGATCAGCAAATTTGATCTGTAGACCTGTGGATGGCACAGGTTAAACACTGTCCCCAAGAAGAAGAATCTGCTAATCTGAGTTGCAAAGGCTAAGGGCAAAAGAAACACAAGCACCACAAAAGAGGTTACTGATGCCTCCTGACAAAGGAGCAAAACGATATCTCAGTCTCAGAATTAGCTGATGAGGCATTGAGGATCTACATGATAAAGAATTTTTTAAATCCATTATAAAGTTTCATAAAACCAACAAGAAACAGATGCATAAGTACAAGTAATATGGTACACAGGAAATAGCAGCACTGAAACAAAATAAAACTGAATTATTAGGAGTAAAGAGTACAATAGAGTAAATAAAAATTTAATGGAAAGTCTTAATAATAAAATGAATGAGACAGAAGAATTTCAAAGCTAGGAAACTCCTCCTGTGAAAACATACAATCAGAATGTGGAAGAGGAACTGAGTAAAGCTAAGAAAGCCATCCAAGAATTAAGTGATACCGTAAAAGGCCATAAGCTTATAGGAGTTCTTGAGGGTATTAAAAAAGAGAAGCTGGATTGAAAGATGTATTTAACAAAATAATAATTGATAACTTCCCAAACATGGAGAAAGAAAGGGGAAACAAAATGCAGGAAAAACACAGAACCCCCAAATAGACAACCAGAAATTATCCTTGCCATAGCACATCATAATCAAGCTCTTTTACGTTGAACATAAAGAAAAGTTTCTTAAATATGCATGTGATAAAAGTCAACAGAATCACATACCTGACAAAGCTTTCCTTTGTATTTGAAAATGAAATAAAATACTTGAAACACAGACAAAAACTGAGACTTTGTCTCTATACCAGAGCAGCCCTGCAAATGTTGCTTAAAGATGTGCTACAGACAGGGGAAAAAAAAAAAAGAAAGAAAGAAAGAAAGAGTAACACCCGCCATCTCTAAAGGCAAAAGTGGAGAACATCTCAATAAAATCTCTAAAATTGAGTCTGGCATGGTAGCCTAGTGGTTAAAATACTCTCCTTGAACACTGCCAGGATACCATATGGGCGCCGGTACTAATCCCAGCAAGCCCACTTCCCATCCAGCTCCCTGCTTGTGGCCTGAGAAAGCAGTAGAGGGTGACTCAAAGCCTTAGGACCAGCACCTGCACCCTGAAGAGGCTCCTGGCTTCACATTGGTTCAGCACGAGCTGTTGCATCCACTTGGGGAGTGAATCATTGGATGGAAGATCTTCCTCTTGTCTCTTCTCCTCTGTATATCTGACTTTGCAACACAAATAAATAAATCTTTTTTTTTTTAAAAAAAAATACCTCTAAAGAAATTTGAATGGAGCAACACTAAAATGACTGTAGGTATTAACCC